GTGTATGTGTGTATGTTGGGGGATGGCCATGATCTGCTGGGGAAACCAGTGGGTGTAAATCAAATCATAGAGTAGCCAAAATCAGAGGGAATCTATTCAGACATCTGGGATGGACCCGGAACTTACAAAAAATGCTCATCGAGGGATTGGTTAGCCTAACACTTTACAGTTTTTCCAAAATGCTTTTGTTCATACCCAATTTGGTCTTCATAATGACCTCTTGAGCAAGATGGGGTTGCTATTCTCATTTTACAGATGATTTTACCGTGAATGGCCGTTCATCCACCTCAGAGCCCTGTGGTTACTGCAGGATGTTGGAAGCTGCTTCCAGCTCATGATGTGAGCCAGTACTCGCTCCTACTTAGGATTATATATTCAGGTTGGACGTGGTAGCTGACGCCTGTAATGCTAGCACTTTGAAAGACAGGAGAATTGCTTGAGGCCCAGAGTTTGAGACCAGCCTGGGCAACATAATGAGACCTTCGTCTCTACAAAAACAAAATATAAAAATGAGCTGAGTGTAGTGGCATGTGCCCATAATCCCAGATACTCAGAAGGCTGAAGTGGGAGGACGGTTTGAGCCCACAGACCCTAGGCTGCCCTGGAGTTGTATGATTGCATCACTGCACTGAAGCCTGGGCAAATCAGCCAGACTCTGTCTCAGCAAAACAAAACAAAACCAAAAAGGATTATATATCGATGAGTTGAATCATTGCAAACGTAAACATTGATTCATCAAGCAAGCATATACTGAACACCTTCCCCGTGTTGAACACTGGTAGAGTCTGGTGATTCAAAGATGAACAGCTGCCCCTGTTTCTAAGGTACTTATAGTCCGGTGATTACTCCCGGGTTTCTATTAATATGTGTATTTCATTGAGAACAATAGGAACCACTGGTCTCTGCGACTTGGGAAGTGGAAGAGAGGCTTAGACAGATAAGGTGTAGAGAGGATCAGAACCCGTGTTGAGGTTCTAACTCCCAAGCCATGTCCCCAGCCACATACCACACAGTCAGTGTCTTGCCTTCCCATTCCTATTGGATAAGCTTTGGAGATAAGACAAGCCTGGCTGATCGCGGCTGAGTCTGTAAACCTTGTTATGCAGAGGTAACCTGGAATTGCTTCTTGAGTCCCTGCTTATTTTAGCTCTTGACATCACAAGATGAATTCCCTCTTTAGTGAATTGCACAGACTTTTGAAAACTATGCTTCTGCTGCTCTAAAGTCCAGGAGTGGGCTCCTTAGCCTGAAAGATGCGCGTTTTAATGGGATGTGACAGCTGCTTTCAAACATTTGAGGGCGAGCAACTGTTGTTGGAGGGGATGCAGGGCTTGTCCCATGTCCAGCAACAGTGGGGGATGTTCCAATACAAGCGGGGGATGTTCCAGGAATATCCGCTCGGCTCCGTATGAGCAAGTGTCTTTCCAGCCAGTAGCACTGTCTAATAATGGAGCAAACAGCTTGGAGCCAAAGAGCCAGAGGTCGAAGCTGAGGATGCCAGAAGGACTCCTCAAGGGCTTTGTGGATTCAGTGGGAAGTTGGGCTGGAGTGACCAGCTGATTTGTCTCTTTGCACAGTTTGTCTGGTGCTGCACGTAGAGAATTTTACTTTCTTTAGAGAGATGAAGGGCATAGAACACCAACACTCTTCTTACGGCAAAGGTAGGATTCTGCTCCTGTTTCTTTTGTCTGTCTTTCTTTTTTTTTTTT